TGTACATATGGGACCTTTCCCTCTCTCTTTGACTCTCTTAAAGTATAAGCCTAGTAATGATATGCTTCACTGGATCAAAGGGCCACTCATTACAGCATTCTGAATGAGGGCTACTTCTGTGAGTTCCAGAAGTTTTCAAATGAGGAGACTTGACCAGTTTCTTCTATCTATTCCGATAAGTCCAGGGACTAGGGCTCCAGTCATTGATGTAACTTCCCAGTTGCCTAGGGCATAAAAAGGCAAGCCTACTAGAAATCAGTGTCTCAGACTTGATTAATGTATCAATGTCATTCAAATCAATGGACTCTCATGATCCAGTGTATTTGCTAGTATTCTCCAAATGAATGATTATGTGGTGGAGCGACATCTGCACTAATGAGAAAAAAGGAAAAAATTCACATACAAGACTTATGTGATGAAATGCAATTTACTATATGATATTCTGTACAGATGGTGGGGACCTCAAGATCATATAGAGATAGGAGATGCTACAAACCTCTAAGTCTTCATCCACTTGGGGTGACAGTTCTTGGAATGTTGTTAGGAGCAGCTTCTTAGATGGCTTTCCAGGTTTCTTCTTTCATATAGGAAAAATACATCTCTGATATGTGTTAGGAATGCTCCTTTGATTTTCCATAGCTCCAGGATTGTTGTTGTTGTTGTTATATTGTTGTTCATCCTTCATTTTTTGAAGAGGATCAGTGACATCATGGGGGATGTCTTGACTTGCGCACGAAATAGATTTAAGTGAGGTAGAGTTGTAAAAAGTTGTCAGCCTCACTCACTCTTCCAGAGTCATTGAAGTCCAAAGGCAAGATGAAAGTCAAGATGACCAGTGATAGCCCAGAATGCAGTGTATCACCTCGGTGTCTTCCATGTCTGACCAAGCTCTAAGTACTCCACAGTACCTGCTTCAGCTGTCTTCCTGACTGTTGGAACAAATTGTTGTCTTTTATCAGTTCTGCCAAGGGAAATCTTCACATGCTTGGGGCATGGTGACGGGTGGGAAACAAGGTGTTATCTATCACTTCCCCTTCCTCATCTATACCTTAGATTTTGGAGCATTGTAATTGGTTGAGGTAATGAAGGAGGAAGAAATGGAAGTGTAAAGGGAATCTGAGTTATCTCATGGCTGACTTGGGGCCTATTTACTTAAAGATAGGAAGCAGTTCTACATGGCCTTGGCAGAACTTCTGAAAAACACTCAGCTGTGCAACTGATCATAAGCTTATATAAAGATGCTAAACTTTGTTAATAGCCTAAATTTCAGATTTAACTCTTAATTCTCCTGTGCTAGTCTCTAGATTCTAAAGCAGAGCTGTCAAATATGTTGTCAGCAACATTCTCAAGAGTGGAACCAGTGGGGATCTCTTTGTGTGGCTTAGTGGTCTCCATTTCTATTTGAGTTTGACCATTGCTCTAAGACACACTAAAGGAGTATTTAAAAAGTTAGCATTCACTCAGGGCCTTGTTTTCAGTACTTGAGTAAGCACTAACACAACAGTTTAGTGACTTTAGAAGCATAATTGCTCATTGTTTTTAGTAATGGTTGAGCCAATTCACAACTAGTTCCATCGGAATATAAATGTTCTGGTAGGAACGATATCTACTAGAGTCTCCTGTAATGTAAGCTAGTAAAGTTTTTACCTAAAAAATAGGGAAGCTGTCCCCAGATTTGATAGACACAGGGGAATATGGCTTTAGCCATTGACTAGACTATCAGGTCACATAGGGCAGTTTTTCCTTGAGCTATAGGGGCTAGATTAGGTTTTCCCTAAGAGGCAGAAAAACTGTGCATAAGACTTGATTAATCCAAGGCCTAGTGATCCAACCTTTGACACAACTTCCCAGTTGCCTAGGGCATAAAAATTCCAGTCTACTAGAATCAGTGCCTCTCAGATTTAATGAATATCACACTACCATAAAAGTCAACACTTTTTTTTGTTGTTCAGTCTTTTTCCAGTCATGTCCAACTAGTCATGACCGCATTTGGGGTTTTCTTGGCAAAGATACCAGAGTGGTTTGTCATTTCCTTCTCCAGCCAACAAACCCTTAAGATCAATCATGTTTATATATAGAAATAAAGGGGCTATGTCTACCTCAACCAGGGCTATATTCTTGCTGAGTATACTTCCCATGTTATTGTTAAGAAAACTTCTTTTCATCCATCCATAGCCAGTCAACAAGCATATAATTAATATTTACCATTTGCTGGGCACTGTACTAAGGCTTGAGAATACAAAGAAAGGCAAAAATAATTCCTGCTCTCAAGGAGTTCATATTCTAATATGGGAGACAACATGCAGATAACTAAGTACACCCAACACATATACAACAAGATAATCTCAGATTAATGGTGCAATAATGTTCCATTTCTTTACATCACTCACCCCCATTAGGATAAATTTGTTTTTGAGAAGTTGTAAAGCACTTTTACTGACCTTAGGCTTCCCATAATCTCAAAGGCTCAACTTTTCTGTACAAACATTTTACCAGTATTGTGGTATGGTATCAAGCCTTCGAACACCATTGCTTCTGCTTAATAAGGCAATGGGAAAGTATATGCACTAGCATTAGAAGGACCTGGAAAAACTTCTTGCAGAAGGTAAGATTTTAACTGGGACTTAAAGGATGCCAAAGAAGCCAGGAGGTGGGGGTGAGGAGGAAGAAAATTCCAGGCCTGGAGAAAAGCCAGTAAAAGGCAGAGAGTCAGGAGATGGAGGGTCTTATGTGAGGAAAAGCAAGAGGACAAATTTGTCCAAGAAGACAAGTCCAGGATTCCTGGATCATGGAACATGTGGAAGGGAGCAAAGTGTAAGAAGTTGGAAAGGTAGGAAAGGGCCATGTTGTAAAGGCCTTTTAAAGTCAAGCATAGCACTAGCTGTGTGCCTCTGGGCAAGTCATTTAACCCCAGTTGCAAGAAAGAAAGAAAGAAAGAAAGAAAGAAAGAAAGAAAGAAAGAAAGAAAGAAAGAAAGAAAGAAAGAAGAAAGAAAAGAAGAAAGAAAGAAAGAAAGAAAGAAAGAAAGAAAGAAAGAAAGAAGGAAGGAAGGAAGGAAGGAAGGAAAGAAGGAAAGAAAGAAAGAAAGAAAGAAAGAAAGAAAGAAAGAAAGAAAGAAAGAAAGAAAGAAAGAAAGAAGGAAAGAAAGAAAAACATAGGATTTTATATTTAATCTTGGAAGTAACTGGAGCTATTGGGGTTTTATGAGTTGGGGTAGAGAGGGAGGTGATATGACCAGACCTGCACTTTAGAAAGATCACTTTGTTAGCTGATTGGAGGGCAGACTAAAATAGGGAGATACTTGAGGTAGGGAGATCAAACAAAAGCCAATTTCAGCAGTCTGGGCATGAAGTGTTGAAGACTTCTACCAGGACGGTAGCAATGTCTGAGGAAATAAGAAGGTATAATGTGAAGGAAGAATTGACAGAACTTGGCAACAGATCGAATTTGGGAAAGGGGAGCAGGGGGAAGAAATGAAAGAGAGTGATGTTAAATTAAATGATTGATGGTCTTACAAGTGTCTCATTTCCTTCCAATGCTGAGCCTGAAGCACCATACCAGCCCGAATTAGGTCTGGCCTATAACTTTTGGCATTAATCAAAAGATTTGGATTGAAATTACCTTGGTTAAAGCAGAGGGAGGGTTATGCAGAGGAAGTAGGTTATCAGACAGTCAGATTCAGCTGTGTGAGACCCTGTGACCAAGGCTACTTATGATAGCATATGTAGAGCCTTCTCAATGGGATAGAGAAGGACCCCCCCCAAACTCATGTGATTAGCAAGGTAGATGCTGAAAGATGTTGACATACAGGGTATAAATTATCCATACACATTTAGCAATGAGAGGCAGAGCTCCTGATTTTTAAGAACTATATGTCCTGAAGGTAGAGGAGGGGCATATGAATTTAGTAATACCACAAATAAATGGGGACAAGGAATAACAGACCACAGTAGGGAAGAATGTTTTCTAAACTAGAGGTCTCTGACTCAAAAGTCCTGCTAGAATATGTGCTGAATTCCATGACGGGTAAAGTGATATGAAAGGAGAAGCAAAGGATGAGAACTGGGAATCCAATCCTGTAGTAAGAGAGCTTCAGACTCATCCAGTTACTGCTCCCCAGGGAGTGACTTCCTCCACAGAGAGTGATTTGAGCGTTGGTGGGCTGTCATCACTAAGGAACTTAAGAGTCTACAGAATTTTAAACAGCAATCTAATGCATCATTGGAATAATGGATAATGAGCACATGCTTCAATGGAACCAATGTTGAATCACTCCAGAAAGCAGAGCTCCATTGGCTTGGTGAGCTAACCAAAAAAAAAAAAAGCAAAAAAACAAAAACTTACTTTTGCAAAGCCAGTTAAATCAGTTAGACACACTGTATGGGACCCGATGGATGAAGAGTTTTCTGTCTCTTGGATTTCAAAATGCCTTTTAATGGACACCCTAAAAGGTCTGTCCAATAGTACGTATATCTAGGACAGACAGTATAAATTTCTAGTGAGCTCACCCCCGTTAGGATAAATTTGCTTTTGAGAAGATGTAAAGTATTTTTACTGACCTCAGGCTTCCCATAATCTCAAAGGCTCAACTTTTCTGTACAAACATTTTACCAATGCTGTAGTATGGTATTAAGCCTTAGAACACCATTGCTTCTGCTTAATAAGGCAATGGAAAGGCATATGGTAGGCATAAACAGGATGTAACCTATAACCTTAAGGCAGCTAAGTAGCTCAACAGATAGAGCACTGGGCCAGGAATCAGAAACACGCCTCAGATACTTACTAACTGTGTGACTCTGGGGAAGTCACTTAACCTGTTTGCCTCAATCCGCTAGAGAAGGAAATGGCAAACCTCTCTAGTATCTTTGCCAAGAAAACCCCACAGACAGCATCAGCATGCTATGGTCTACAGGGTCACAAAGAGTTAGTTATGACTGAACAACAACAGCTAACCAACAAGCAGGAGGAACAGGGGTAAAGGGTGTCATTGAGAAGCCCTATGACAGAAAGAGAAGATGGTCTAGTCATATGTCAAGAAAGAAATAACATGCAGGAAAGCGAGGGCACTGTATCGGTATCCTCTCAGTGTCAGGAGAAATTAAGAAAGGCCTCCAACACTTTGGGTGGACATCCAAAGAGAGGAGGTGGAGAACCTTTGGGAGAACGTGGACAAGTAGAGCAAGATGGGCAGCCATTGATAATTTCAGTCTGCATTATAGGAGGGAACTCCTGACTCGATGAGATCAAAGGTCCATTTGAATATTGAGTATTGTGGTAATACTTTTTCTATCATTAAGCCATCCTGGTATAAATCCAGCCTAGTCATGGTGAATAATCTCTTAAATATGTTGATGTAATCTCTTTGCTAAAATTTTATTTAATATTTTTGCATCGATATGCATTAGCAATATTCTGACTTCTTTCCTGGCTTCCACTCTTGACTCTAGATTTTTTCTCCTCATACTGGAAATACTTCTACCCCTACAGCCCACTCCCTAGCCTCCTCCTCTCACTGTTGAGTTCTTGCCTGGAATTTCTATTTGTAGAAGTACCCAGGCCAGCCATGATCCACTTCTTTCTCACCGCCTCTCCTTTCCTTGGAGAATCTGACCTTCCAGACTTTTCCACCTTCACCCTAGCCACCCTGGAGATATCTCTTCTCCTGCCCTGGGCTAGCCATGGCTCCATTCTCTCTCAATTACACTCTGGATTCTATAGATTTTATCACTTTCACCCCATGATAGGTACCTTTCCCTTCTCCCTCCCTTCCTAATTTTTCATCTCCCTTTTACGTGTTGTCTCTTTGAATAGAACATAAGCCCCTTTGAGGGCAGGGAATGCCTTTCTTTCTGCTTGTATTTATTCATAGTATTTATAATTATATTATTCTATAATTTATAATTATAATATTCATAATACTTAGCCCAATGCTAAATATTATGAGACATAGTAAGCATTTAATAAATGTTTGGCTATGTGAGTTGATTCATTTATTCATCTATGAGTAGTGTTGCTGACACCAGGTCCTACCTACCTTCTTTCCTATCAGGGTCAAGAGATTTGACACTGCCCTCTGCCATTCACAGGACTCTTATAGGACTCTCAGATTCCTAGGGAAAAGATACTACTTCCTTATTTTATGGGTAGCCAACTCCCACCTTCTCCCCTTTTAATCCAGATGATACAAAAATGAAGACTACCTCTGGCAAAAACTATCTCATCTCCTACTCCTTCTCCTCATTCTCTCATCTTCATCCATCTTAGCTCTACCGCCACTACCAAGCCCCTTTCCATCTCTGTCTCTTCTCTTCACTGCGCCCCCTAGAATCTCTCAAACACCCAGGATTCCCAGTTTATCCACCTCTGTTGCTCCCATGAACTATACCTCCACTTGATCTTAGCCCCACATAGGAATATTCATGTATTTGATATCATCATTACCATTCATGCTACCATGGCAGTATTCCATTTGCATGTTTAAGATCTCTGAAATGCTCCATCTGACTATCTCCTTGATTCCTTTCTATTCTGTGCCTCTGTCCTCTCAAACTTATTCTTAATCTTCACCATAAGATCCAGTTTCTCCAATGCTCAGTGCTCTCCCAGACTATTACTCCTACTCTGGTTTCATTTTCTTGCTTTCCCAATTTTGACCATATAGTGCAATTATATTCTGTCTTTTGTACTTGATCACCCTTTCTATTTGTTCCTCAAGCCTCCCACACTTCCCACCCCTCTCAGGTAAGGGGAGAACCAAAGCAGGAGAGCATTTGACGCATTCATCCTTCTGAATTTTCCCTCTTCTCTGAATTTTCACAATATTGCTCTCTCCTAGTCCTCCTCCTACTGTTCCACTTTTTCCTTCTCAGTTTCCTTTGGGATCCACATCCCATCCTCATGTATTAATTTATCACAAGTCTACATCCTAAACTGTTATCACTCAATACTCTCTTAATGATTTTATCAGCGTCTGTGGGTTCAATGATCATCTCTATGTAGATGATTCCCAGATTTATCTATCTAGCCCTCCTCCTTCTTCTGAGATCCCATCTTACATCACCAATGGCCTACTGAATGTCTCATAGGCATCTTAAGCTCAATATGTCCAAAATAGAAGTCATTATGTCCCCCCAAGAAAACCACCCCTCTTCCTAATTTCCCTCTTCCTTTTGAGGGTTCTACCTACTTTTCAGTTATCCAAGTTCACAATCACAGTCATCCTCAGATCCCTCTCCCTTACCCATTTACTGTATTCATTTAGTTACTAAGTCTTGATTCTACTCTCACATCTGTCCCCTTCTCTTTACTCACTTGGCCATCACCCTATTTCACGTCCTTACCTCTCTCAAGCCTGAATAATTGCAACAGTCTCCTAATTGGGCTTCCTGCCTGCAATCTCTCCACTTTTCTCTCCATCCTATTGGTTGGTTGTTGTCCCTCATTCTTGAAGAGAACCAAAATGACATCACTATGTTTGAGTCAAGGTACAGTGTGTCCAACTGTGGCTGATCTCCATCCATCCTACACAGAGCTTCCAAACTGATATTTCTAAGGCACAAGTCTGCTGTATGTCATTCCTCTGCTCAGGAAGCTGTAATGGCTCCCAGTCGCTTCTAGGAAAAAACATAAAATAGAGGAATTTGGTTCTTACAGCCTTTCAAAATCTGACTCCAGCCTTTCTGATTTATTACACATTGCTCGCCACACTCTGTATTCTACCCAAATTGACCCACAATAGATTCCCTGTACATATCATCTCTTGTCTCTGTGCCTTTGTAGTGGTTGTCCCCCACACCTAGAATGTACTTCCTCCTCATTGCCTATTTTTAGCCTCCCCCCCCTAAGTTTTAGCTATTTTCCTATTTTTACCTTCCTTCAAGTTTCAGCTGAAGTGCTACCCCTTCCATGAGGCCTATCCTGATGCTGACCTCTTCCCCAGTTGCTGGTGCTTTTTCCTTCTCCCCCAAATTAATTTCTACATCTTTTGTGCTTATTTAAACCAAGTCATAGGAGCATAGATCTAGAACTGGAATAGACCCCAAAGGCCATCTACTGCAGCCTCCTCATTTTACAGATGAGGAAACTGAGGCCAGAGAAGGTTAAGTGACTTACACAAGTGGTAATAATCAAAGGAAGGACTTGAACATAAGACCTCTGACTCCAGAAGCAGTGTTCTTTCCACTGGATCACATCTGTCCATGTTCATGCTATTTCCCCCAAATAAAAAGTAAGTTGCTTGAGATCAGAATCTATTTCATTCTTTTCTTTTTATCCCAAATGTCTAGACCATGCCTGGCACACAGAAGATTGTTATTAATTAAGTTAAACAAATTGGTTAATCAGGGAAGTCTTCCTGGAGGGGGTTAGTTTGGGGCAGCTTCTTGAAAGGGCCCTGAGAACTGCAAAATCAGGTGAAGGACCTTCACAGTGTATAGTCGTCTTACCCTAGGTGGATTTGTAAAAGCATGCCAATATTCTCTTGGCTATTTTTCATATATTTTATGGTGTCTTCTTACTTCTATAAAGGCATAAGGACAAGGACCATGTCTTCTATTTTTTCATACCCTTTCACCTTCTGTAGTGCCTACCATAATGTAGTTTGACCCTATACATGTGCAAATAATTCCTAAAAAACCATCATGGTGCATTGAACTTGACTGAGAGGGTAATTGCAACTGAGAATTTTTTTTGAGGCAATTGAGGTTAAGTGACTTGCCCAGGATCACACAGCAAGTAAGTGTCTGAGGTCGGATCTGAACTCAGGTCCTCTTGACTCCAGAGCGACCACTCTATCCACTGTGCCACCTAGATGCCCCATCAGCTGAGAATTCTTATCTCATATGCTTCAGGTGCCTGTTGCCTCTTGTACACTATAATTTTCTCAATTTCCTGTATGTGTATTGAATACTGGCTATAAAAACATATTAAAAAAGGCAGGGTTACATAGTGGATATAGTGCTGGATTTGGAGTTGAGCAGATCTGAGTTCAAATTCCGCCTTCTCCTCTTTGATAGCTATGTGACTATGGGTAAGTCACTTAACTTCTCTGATCTTCAATATTTTCATCTATAAAATGGTGTTGATATTATCTATATCACAAAAGTCCTAGGATTGTCATGAAGCTAAAATGAGATAACATTAATGTGTTTTACAAAGGCTAAAGTGTTATGTAAATGTTAACTACTATTCTCTTCTCTTATATGCTAATCTATCACATTGTATCATTTTATCTTTATTACGTTATCATAATTCTATTATTTAAAATCATATATTATATTTTATCCTGTTATATTATCATATGATGCTATACTGTACTGTTATATTATATCACAGCATATATTTTTTGCTATGTTATACTATGCTATGTTAAACTATATTGTGATATTATGATATGATATATTATGTTAAGTTAGTTGTGCTATATTATATCATATGCTATGCTACGTCATATCATACCATATCATATTATATCATGTGTTATGTTATATTATTCTATGCTATACAATATTATATTGTTACATTACATAAATAATATCTTATACTACATTGGGCAGCTAGGTGGCACAGCGGATAGAATGCTTGGCCTGGGGTCAGGAGTTCAAATCCAGCCTTAGACACTTACTAACTGTGTGACCCTGGGCAAGTCAGTTAACCCTGCTAGCCTCAGTTTCCTCATACATAAAATGAGCTGGAAAAAGAGATGGCAAACCATTCCAGTATCTTTGCCAAGAAAACCCCAAATGGGGTCATGAAGAGTTGGACATGACTGAAAATGACTAAACAACAAAGTAAAGTTCAGACTTGGACCCCAGCTTCCCAATTCCCACTGTAATACCCTTTCCACTACATTGAATTCCACAGACTGTGTTCTGAGCACTAACTTTACAGATATGAAGAGCTGAATTCCTTTTTTTTTTTATCTAGCCATGACAACTTCTGATTCCAGACCTGGTATTTTTTTTTTCTATATCTCATTCTCTAGTCTCTAGAGTAGTGGGGGAATTAGGTTGGGATAAATAGCTAATTGAAATCTGTGGGTGATCCAACCCCACATATTCCCACCACAAAAACCCTTTCATACCTTTCAGTTTTCTTCTTTTGCCTCCAAACTTACAGCTAAATAAATATATTACCAATATATTTGAGTTTGATCCCTTCTCCTGGTCTCAGAGTCACCACTCTAGTGAAGACGGCAACAAACCAGATGAGTGGCTAACGGCTGACTATGAAGAATTATTGGAAGGAACAGTGGACAGGAAGCAAGAATCCAGCAGAACGTAAGCTCTCCAAGAGCAGGGACTACTATGTTTTACCTTTTTTATCTCTAGTGTTTGGCATATAGTTAAGTGCATAAGAAATGCTTATTGAATTGAGTCATCCATAAACTGGTTAACATTACAAAAAAAATTGAAAATTAGTTATTCCATTCATATTTAATAAATCGTGTTTCTATGTTCCCTTCTTGATATCAGCTGGAAGGCTAGTACGATAGGGGGCCTAAAGGGAATTTGAGTAGGCTTTTAAGAGGTTTCCCTGGGTTGCTACACAGTCAGTTGCCTCAAACAGCTGAGTTAACAAGGTATGTAACTTCATAGGCCATATCTGGTATATAGGATGCAATAAAGGACACTGTAACATTACGTTTGTAATCCATGACCCAGGGCCTCCCAATGTCTAAGTTCATAAAAATTGTATCCAATCTTTGGCATTTACCCAAAAAAGGTTATAGTCCGTCTCATATGTTCCCTCCCAGAATTTGGCCTGAGATATCTCCAAATATAATCATGTCCAGATTTCTATAAATGTGAATAATAAGACCCTCAGTTTCTCTGCAAGTACTTAAGTATTATTAGGTGGAAGAAAGCCTTTGGTTCACTTTATAGAAGAATGCAAACAACTGACAGAAAGAAGCCTTTGAATAGATAGAGAAAACACATAAAGCACAATTCCCTTTAGAGGGGAATTGCAATTGGGTTTCTGGCAGGATGACACTGTCTTTCTGTCCTACAGGATCCTACACAGTTCCCCTAGGTCCCAGTGTGCTTTCCAATAGTTTAAACTACCCCTCAAAGTCAAGCACATCCAGGAGCTGTTAGACAGATAACCTCCTTCTTGTTGGCCCTAAATTGTCTAAATCATGCACCACAAAAGGAGTAAAATAATGGTCTTCTATCCCCCCCTCCACTCCCATGTTGTGGTCTGACGCCCTTACTATGGGCCAAGTGGGCCTCTCTTCTCTTTCCAAGAGGCACTCTTCTCTGGATGCACAGATCCATCAATCAACAAGCATTTATTAAACTGTTACTATGGGTCAAGAATTGTGCTAAGTGCTAGGAATACAAAGAAAGGCAAAAATAGTCGAGGATCAAAAATTCCAGTGGGGGAGACAACATACAAACAAGTAGACACTTAGGAGATTGAAGTGGAGTAGGTGGATAGGTTGCATTTCTTCTTCTGAAAACTGTTTTACCATTTATCTAGGTTCCAACATGTACATCTGACCCAGAGCTCAAGCTTCCTTCCACCCTGGGACCTGCGGATTCTGATTGGTGAGCATTCACCTTATCTTGCTCAGTCACCACACTGCTTGCTGGCCATCTTCATACCAACATCACCATGTACATCCTGGCTTCTAAACCTAGCTCTGAGAATTGTAATCAAATCAATACTACCATACCTGGAAAGAACATGTCAATCAATTATGATTCCAATCACCATTGTCCAAAATACTCCTCCCTGGCTACCACTTCCCACTGTATGCTGTCTTCTATTATTAAAATATAAGTTCCTCAAATTCAAAGACTGTTCTGCTTATTTGCATTTGTTTATTCAGCATTTAGCCCAGTCCCTGGCACAGAAGAGCTTAAAAAGTGTCCCCTTCCCCCTTCCCCATTCATTATCTAATGGGAAATAGCTCTTACATCTTATATACTTGTGAAAATTCTCTATTTTTAAAAATTTTTTCTTGGATATAAGAATTTTGTAAGAGATATTATGATTATGCAGGTGTTTTAACTTCCAGAAAATTAAGCTCTGCATGGCATCAGGTTGCATATGTTACCAGTGAAGACTCAAAGCCTTGGTGGAGAATAACATTCAAGAGGCATCATTTTCAAACCTTTCCCAGGACACACAAATGCTTTCTTCAAACACTGCCTGGCAGAACCTAACATTCCTCCATTTATTCCTACTGCATGTGGCATCCTACCCAACCTCTAGTTATCGGAGGGATTAAGGCGTAGGCACAGGTGGAAATAAATACTCCCCACTGTCAGGCTCAGAGTTTTAGCATCCTCCCTGCCATGGGTTTTTGGATTTAATGTGTGAACCTTTACTTCCTGCTATTCCTAGAGTTGCTATTTATGGAATGATCATTGAGTTTACCTGAACTTTAGCCCTGGTGGAAATAAATGTAACACAGGATCACTGAATTTAAAGTTGGAACAGTAAAAGCCCAAGATTCCCTTATGGATTTTCCCAGAAATGCATTCCTGCCTTGTAATATCCTTTCAATATATTCAGGGTCCATTTGTGCAGATAATTAGAGGTTAATAGATATAGTTCTAGCTACATCTTAAGCACTCATCGTCTTTGTCCTGTGTCTATGGGGTGTGCTTATCTTGCATTTGGTTGCCTGGATTTTATTTTCACTAACACAGGAAGATGCAGGGTTTAGAGCACTGAAACAGAAACTACATCAAATTACAACTTTTTAAGGCATACAGGTGTGTGTGGGGTGTGTGTGTGTGTGTGTGTGTGTGTGTGTGTGTGTGTGTGTGTGTGTGTGTGTGAGGAGGTGGGGAAGAAAGAGAGAGAGAGAAACAGGGCTAATGCAAATGTGATAAGACAAATAAGTAGCTTTTTTCCACAGTCTGAACTGATTTGAGGAATCTATTGGCTAGAGTGACCTAACTAGCTCATAAAGAATGACCCCACACACATACTCCTCATATTCTTGATTTGGTAGGATAAGAGAGGAGGTGCCATGCTATAAAAATTGAACACCCATCATCAATGCTGACTTTTATTTGGCAAGCCCTCTATTTAAAAATAGAGAATGCTTTGAGGAAAGTTATTGTTTGAACAATCCCTAGACATCAGAGGGGTGTGACTAAACTGAGTAGATTAACTGCCCCAGGCTAGAGGGACGTAGTCTTTGGAGGTCTGGGTCCAGAGATTCATCATACCCGATAGGAACAAAGAAGGGAAATAGCAAGGTAGATGGCAATGTGCTCGATCTAGGCAAGCCCTGGTGTCCTAGCAGATGGTGGGTTGAGATGTAAAGTGTGTTCTGGTACTAGCTACCTATAGCGAATTAAGCAGAAGAGAATTTTAGTAGCTCAAAGAAACTCGAGATGCCCAAATTTAGAGAACCCACCCTAAATATTCACACGGACTATTTGTGCCTCACCTGTGGTAGAACATTCTGAGCTCGTACTGGTCTGATCAGCCACAGTCTTGACTCTAGCATAGTGATGTCATTTTGGTCCTCTTCCAGCACCAAGGACAAGAACCAACCAAGAAAGAAAAAATGCAAAAACAAAAAGGTTTCAGAGATTAAAATTTTCATTCCCTTTGGGCAGAGCTCCCAAGGTAAGGGTGTGATGCTGTATGTGGACAGAGGGAAGGGAGGCTGCTACCTTGGGGGATTATGTCTTTGTTTCCCAGTGCCCATGTGATGTCCCAATTGGTAAACCAGTGAGTGAAAAGCCACCTTAATTCGCTATAGGTAGCCTCACTTAAGTCCAATTCACTTGCACACGATGGCATCACTTCCCTAATATCATGGTCCTCTTCGAGAACAAAGGACAAACAAGAACAACAACAACCACCAGGTAGTCATTTGATGCCAATATTGCCATTCCTCACCCACACCCACCTTATCGATGTTAGCACCCTAACAGTGCTTAGTGTTGGGGTGAAGAGAAGAAGGAAGCTTCCCATTAGCACTAAGTTAGGTGAGGGGTAGAGCGGAAAAGAAGCTAAAGGCCTATAGTCAAAAGAATGACAGAATTAAAGATTTAGAGCTAGAAAAGGCTTTAGAAATCAGAAAATCTAACCCTCTTATTTTAAAGAAAAGTTAGGCCCAGCAAGGTTAAGAATTTGTACAAGTTCACCCAAGTGTTAAGTGATGGAGTCAGAATTTGAATTCAGATCCACTGAATCCATATTCTGATCCACTTTCCACCACCCCGTGGGGCTACCTTACCCTTATCCAACATTTCTTGTCTAAAAATGGCTCAGTGTTTTACTGAAAAGAGATTGAATGATAACAGGTCTCCTTTTCTTTGCTATTTCTATACCTTCTCAGCAATCTGTGAATCTTCAGGAAAATTGCCCGTCTCAAAAAGTAGCTTCTTCAGTTAATTCTTCTAACAACCCAGAAAGTGTAGTATGGTGGGTAAAGAGCCTGATCTGAAATCAGGGAACCTGGGTTCAAATACAGCTCTGCTATTATTACCTCTCCAGCTCTCCATTTATGAGGATAGGTCCACAACATTTAGAACTGGAAAGAAAGGCAACTCCCTCATTTTATAGATGAGGAAGCACGCTCAGATAGGTGACTTACCCACAGTCTTCTCTTCTATAAAATGATAGGGTTGGGCTGGATGACTTTGAAAGTTTCTTTCAAATTCTAAATCTATGATGTTCTGCGAACCATCTTCAGGATCTTTCTAATAAGCATAGGGGTTCCCTTCCATTGCATAACTAACTCTGTTGTGCACCAATAACAGCCCCTTTTAACTTTAATTTTGTTGTTATGTTCTTTGACTTCGCCTTCGTTTCTGTATACTCTCCCCTTCCCTTGTAACACAGAATAAAAAAAGAAGGGGCAATGAAACTCATGCAAACTAACCAACACATAACCTAGTGTGACAGTAGATGTGAACAACAGCTTTTTTTAAAAGGTCTTTCCCAAATACCTAGAGCTCTTGATTTACCATTTTTTAAAATAAAAATTAACAAATTCAGCTCAATAATGCAGCAGTTTTGAATCAGAAGATTAACTTTAATTCCTCTGTCTAGTTTAGGGGACTCTTTAAGGATGCTTGCTGGAATTTTTGTTGTTTATAAGAATAGCTCACATTCTGTACAGAGTGATGTACAGAAGGTGATGTAAGTCACACATGCCCTAGCTTACAGATGAGGAAACTGAGGGTTAGAGAGATTAAAAGACTTGCCCAAGGTCAGGCAGCTAGTATAAATGCTAGAGCTGTGTCTATAAACCCAAGTCTTTTGATACCAAGACTGATACTTTCCCATTACATTCAATTCATTCATCCAATTCCATCCAATTTGACTCCATCCAAATCAATTCAGTCCATTCAACAATCATTGATTAAGCACTTACTAGGTGCCAGGAGCTATTCTAGGCTCTGGGAATATAAAGACAAGCCAGTAAGCTACAAGGAGTTTATATTCTTGGAGGAGGAGTGGGGAAGAAGACAAGAGAATGTACAATGTGTACATAGATAAAGAAATATAAAATATTTTCAGATTAAATACAAAGTAATTGGTAGGGAGTACCAAGAATTGACGTAATCAGGAAAGGGGCCTTATAGTAGGTGATACTTGAGTCTGCAAAAGATCTCTGAATGAACAAATGAACATTCATTAAGCACCTACTGTGAACCTCTGCTAGATTCTAGGGAAATAAACAAAAATGAGACAAACACCCTCAGAGAGTTAACATTCCAATAGGGGAGTATAACACAGAACAGTAGAGGCCAGGTTTGGAGAATCACAGGGGTTGTGGGTAAAGGCACAGAGCAGTTGATTTTTTGAAATAACAATCATAATATATGACTATTTTTCTCTGAGCAAGAGCAAGAGGTGGAAAGGATAGGGGAGAAAGGTGGTGGAGTGAGGGTAGGAGGTGAAGGTGAAGATTAGCGTGAATTTGCAAAATGGAAGCAGTGGGGGGGGCAAGGGAAACATTATTATGTTTGGGTCTAAATTTTTTTGTTCTTTGTATCTTTCACTCTATCCTATGACTCAGAGGTCTAGAATATGTTGTTTCTTCTCTTTGTCACATTGCAAAAATTCAAATTTGCTACTACCTGCTTCTCTCAGTGTGAAAACTGCTAGGCCTGACAGCTGTCTGAGCTCTTCTATGATGTATTGCATTTTACTCATGAAGTTAGATACATGCAAAAGCAAAGATCATTGGGCTGGGCAATTGAGCTGGCAAATCAGCTTCGTGTTCAGCCAGTATGGCCAGATTTAAAATGAGCATCCTTGTCAGTGGTGACTCACTCTAGATAAGTAGATGAGCCACCAAGAACATGATGAATCCACAAAGTAATCTGCTGTGTAAGGGAGTGATGAGATTTAGGGATGGGGAGGAGGGCGGGAAGGGAGAAGAGAGGAAGAAAGTGCAATGAGAATTTTCAAATTGGATCTTTTCCAAAGAAAGGTCAACACTGGGGGTATAGGCAATGTTTCATGATATTTGTAGTATTAATTAATTTCTTCTTTAAAAAAATTTTACAACTGACTTAATTTTTTTTATAACTTGTAGTATTAATTACATAGCTTATTGCCTTTCATCATCTTATGGTTGAAGGTTATAGTCCATCAGTTTAGGGGTTGGGGGGATCAGTATGATGCAACAGGCCTAGGCTTAATCCCAGCTCTGCCACTAACTCCCTGTTTGACCTTGAGCAAGTCACTTTCTGAGCCTCACATTTCCCATCTGTAAGATGAGAGATTGGACTAGATGACCTCTAAATTCCCTTCCAGGTCAGAGTTTATGATCCTAAGTTCAATATAATAGTTAAGAATAAAAATAAGAACTAGCGTTTCTCATAGTCCTTTAAAGTTTGCCAAGTGTTTTTACAAACACCCTATTTGATTTTCACAGATTGCTGTTCCTCATTCATTCTCAAAGAGGACCAATGATGTCAAGAGGTGATGTCTTGAATCACAAGTGAATTGGATTGAAGTGAGGCAGGGCTGTGCAAAGTCATCAGCCTCACTCTTTCCTCCAGAGTCATTGGAGCCCAGTGGCAAGACATAGATCGGAATGACTGGCGATGGCCCCAGATGCAGTGGGAGACCCTGGCAACAACCCTTCTAGTTAGGTGCTATTACTATGCTCATTTTACAGATAAGGAAACTGAGAGACAAGTGACTTGTCCAGGTTTAGGTAGCTAGTGTCAGATAGGATTTGAACTCAGGTATTTCCAACTCTAGGTTTAGCATTCTATTCACTGCTCTACCTAGTACTTTCTTTTTCTCTTGTCCTCCCTCCATCCCTCTCTTCTCCCCATCTCTGTTTCTCTCTCTCCCACCTCCCCTCCTCCCTCTTTTCTTCTCTCCTTCTCTCTCTTCTTCTTTCTCCTCTCTCTCTTCTTCTCACTCTCCCCCCTCTTTTTCTCTCTCCCCCCTTCCCTCTCCTTCTCTCTCTCTCTCTCTCTCTCTCTCTCTCTCTCTCTCTCTCTCTCTCTCTCTCTCTCTCTCTCTCTCTCTCCCTCTCTCTCTCTCCCCCTACCCCCCCCATTTTATACACACACAAGTATATACATACATATAAGGAATTTCCTGACTATAAGCTATCTCAAAATAGGATGGGCAGACACAAAAAAACAGTGAGCACCTCATCAGTGGAGGTTTTCAAACAGACTGGACAGCCACTATCAGGATGTTATAAATTGGTCAGTGAGGTGTTTCTGCTGCAGCTAAGGGTTGGACCAAGTTACCCCTGAGATCCTTTCCAACTCTGAAAATGTATGAATTTATACTATTCCCAGGTCTATATATGAAACAGAGCTTTCAGTATTTTTATCTCTCTGAACTCTGCTCAGGTCAGACCATATCCATAGTGTTGTGTTCAGTTCTGGGCATCACATTTTTGGAAAGGTATTGTTAATCTAGAGATTATCCAAAGGCACATAAGCAGAATAATGAAGAGCCTTGGGTCCATGCTATACAATGACCAGCTAAAGGAACACAGATGTCTGGGCTGAAGAAGAGATGTGCCCTTCTGGGAGGATATGATAGCTGTCCTGAAGTATTTGGAGGACTGAATGGTGGAAGAAGTGTTTAACATACTTTGCTTGAGTCTAGAAGGAGCAACAGACAGAAGAGTAGAAGAGACACATTTAGCTTTGAAGTAAGAAAGAATTTTCTACCAACTAGAGCTATTTTAAAGCAGAATACTTCTGGATGACTGCTTCTCAGGTGGAAGAGATTCATTTTCAAGTCAGACCCAATGTCAGCTTCCTCTCATAGCAGTATAAGTAGGGAGGTAAAGGGAAATTTCCTGGCCACTGACACCTCACTTCACCCCCCCCCATAGACCTGCTGAGGGTGGCACAGAGCCCCTCTCCTTCCTGGCCACTGACATCCCCTCCACATAGACCTGCTGAGGGTAGCACAGAGCCCCTCCTCTACCTCCCCAACAAGGGCTATATGGTAATGGCAAGAGACTAGAAACTCTTCTCCACTCCCAGTGTGCTCCATGTCTATGGGCCCCTTGGAGAACCTTTCAGGGGTTAAAGGAAAGGGAGAGAGTAAGCAGGCAAGAAACAAAAGAAGGAATAAAGTCAAGAAATCTGCCATGAAGCTTCTTGCAGGGAAATGCAGAGAAAGTCATTTCCAACTTCTTTCATCTCATAGATGAAGCTACGAAATAAAAGGGCAGAGCAGCGAACACAAGGGCTTTTAATCTGTCTCATCTCCTTCATAATAACTGCAAATTTTCCCTGGGCTCCTGGGAGTGAGCCTCTTTCCTCTGTCTCTGGCTTATCTCCCCCCTCCATATTTCACAGCCTGCTCAGCTCCCCTCACTCTCCTGCCCCCGGCCTGGTCTCTTCTAGGCCTATGGGAGCCTGTAGCTCCCAGGGCCTCATTGTTTCCGGCCGGGGAGGAGGCTCAGAGAGGGAATTGAAGGCCGGTCAAAGGGAAAAGGCAGCACCATCGCTGCTTCATTAACAGGAGCTTTTCAGCAGCAAACATATCAGAGTGAGGTCTTTTCAGAGGCGGTAATTAGCAATTTGGAGCCTTCACCCCTCAGGAGATGCAGCTGCAATCTAACAAGTGGGAGCAGTGCTAGGCTCCCTTTAAAAAAATCCTTAATATTTATTGTTTTCCATTTTCTCTGATCTCCCCTTAACCCATCCTTCCCAGACATTGTCCAGCCCTCCTCCACACCAGATAAGGGGGGCTTTATTAATCACTCTTTTAATTCTCTGTTAATGATAACTTTCTTTCTCACTGAGAGAAGTTAATCTTTCTTGGGCATTGAGAGAAAAAAGAGTCCTGGGAACAAGAGACAGTGAGAATGATGAGGATGAGATGACAGCCCAAATCACCTCCTCCCCACCCTTTTCCATCCTACAATTTGTCCTACTTGCCCCATAAACATGAGGCTAGCGACTTCCTTTCTCCAAAAAAAAAAAATGTGCCATCAACCTTGTCCTAAGTTGAAGACAGAGGGAAAATTGCCACCCAATCATGGGCATGGCTTTAACCCATGCCACTCTCTTCTAGCAAAGACAATAAGGAGAGGCCCCGAAGTAGAGACTTTGGTGAAGGTGACAGTTATTTTTGTAGCCCAGACCCCTGTTCTGCAAACAAATCAGCCTAGAGCCCCTTCAGGGATTGTAGCAATGTTACAAGGCTATAGCAGTGTAGTTTTGGGCCTTCGGACTGGATGCCAGATACTTTGTGTCATATGGTGGGTATTGTCAGGGCTGACCAGGCTACTCCAGACCAAAGAACTGGGCACCTTGCCTATGAATCAGGCACCGTTGGGCGATGACCCAAAGCTTCTGGTTGCCTTTTGATCCACCATGTCACCACCCCCCACCCCCACCCCACTCACCTCAATGAATGGAATTGGCCAGTGAAAGATTCCTGATGAGCTATGGACTCTATGCCATAGAGGAGTCAGCAGAGCGTAGCACTCAAGAGAAGGAGGGAGAACCCCTGAAAATCCCCTCCGAATTATAAACATATCCTCTTTAAGTACATTTCTAAGGATAACATTTGTATTACGCTGTCCTGTGCCTGCTGATAGGGGCCCCCTCTTATCTCCTCTGTCTTTGCTCCTTTCTCTCAGCTCTGCTGGGAGAGGTCCCTATCTGAAGCAGGGCTGGCAATCCACTTCTTTGCAATTGTTTCAATCCAGGGGAAAAATTAATTTCTGCCTATCGTTAATTGAGAGAATTGTGTGGAGGGCGAGGGAAGGGGAGGGGGGAGGGAAGAAGGAAGGAGGTAGAGGGGAGCAATCGTGTTATTAACCGTGTCCCTTTCATAAGCAAATATCCTGATTTCCATCAGTGAGATGAGAGCCTCATTAAAGCATGAAGCAGAGAGGTGATTAGAGAACTTTGAAGAGCTATTGAGCTAAGCGGGAGGGTCATAGGGACCAGGAGACCAAGGGAATTTGGGAGGAACTGGGTTGAGATGGAAAGCCACCCGCCTTCCTATTCTCTTTTAAACTGGCTTTCCCTCTCTTCCTCCCAATTGCCAATTGCCTTCTACCCAACGTCCACCCCTACATAATCCCCAAAGCCCTCAACTAGTGTTGGGAGGGCTGTAAGAAAGCTGGTGGGAACTTAGTAAAAGGAACAATATAAAAGATTCCATCCCCTAGGCTATGGAGATGGAAGCCTGTGGCGGTTAGGAGGAAGTGGGACAGGGCAGCGGGGTAGTTGCTCTGTGTGTGTCCATAAGGGATGAAGGAGTTGGCAGTGGTTGCACAGCTTTGGACTCAGGCAGAGGTGGATAGCACTCCAGCAAAGGACAGCTGAGTCTTGACTTCATCCTACTCGGCCATATTGGGTCATGAGTAGCAGATAGTCTAGCTTATGGCAAGCTCAGGACAGCTCAGGGAAGAGGCCAAGGGACCACTTAGAAACTGAAGGTCAGAATAATGCAATAGTTCAAAGCCAGGTAGGGAGTCAGAAAAACAGGTGCAGACACTTGAGATAAAGGAAATTCTGCCTCAGACAGGAAGCCATTTATTTGACATGCTTCTAATGGCTACTTTTCCAAAGTGTGGTCAACCAGGGCGGAGACTGACTGCTTCAGAGCAGCAGCTCAATAGACCTTGACAGGCCATGGCGTACAGGGCCACCTTCCTACCTCTCAGATCTCAACCTGGTTGAAGCTGAAGGCAAAATGGTTCACTGTGACATATCAGAATTATCCCTGGCTCTTCAGTCCAGTCAGTTCTTTAGGACATGAGGCAGACTCCCTAATGTCTGTTTAGAAGATTCAAAATGTTCCCATTCCACTTGGGCCAAGGAATAAAAACACATATGTGGTGCTCCCACCAGAAGAGATAGACCTGTCTTTACGTCTGGAGGAGTGAGGGTGAGGGAAGGGAAGGTACACACACTGCTTTCTATGGAAACTTCCAAAGCAGGAGTCAATGCAAGGAAGGGGAAGCCACAGTTGGTCTATTATTCTTGGAAATAACTCTGCTCTCTGCCTGCAATCATATCAATCCTTTCTGAAACAGAAAATAAAAGAAAGAAATACAGAGACAATAACAACAACCATAACAGCAATAATAACTTGTATTTATATAGTACTTTAAGGTTCACAGAGTGCTGTACATACATTATCTCATCTGATCCAAAATAAGGCCAAAGAAAGGAGCAAGAGAAAAAAAGAAAACAGAAAAGTGAGGGAGGCAAGAGGCACTTGGTAAGAGTTCAGAACAATCTCCATTCTCTACAGTGCTTTCTGTTTAAAAAAATAAAAAAGGAATGATGGAGAAGGGGAGAGAGTCAGACAAGTTTAATGATGTGTGTTCAAAGCTCAGATTGGAAAAATGACAGAGAAAAGCAGCCTGTTTCGGCACTAATAAATTGTTCTTTGCTGTAAGAGGCGCCTGTCGCAGCATTAATACAGGCCCCTAATACACGGGTCAGGGTTAAGTAATTTTCTCCGGCAACTTAAGCGAATAATGAAGCTGGCAGCGGCTGGTGGTGCGGTGGGAGAGATGGTCTATGCCGCCGGCACTTTGTCTTCATTTATTATGCCAGCACCGGCGGCACGGACGGGAAGCCTCCGCCGAGAAGATATCGCTTCATTTCGGCAAGGTAATGAAAGCCGGGTTGGGGGGAGGATAAACCAATTTGCTGGCTGACACAGGAAGGAGTGATTTGCGGACTCAAGAGAGGGAGAGCAGGGTCCGAGTGAGAGAAGGTACAAGGCTAAACCAAGGTGGGTCAGGGCCCATCTTGAGGCAGTGCCACAGACCAGAACCCAGAGAAGGGTGATGAGTAGAGCTCAGTAGGACCGGAGCTTGGTAGGGGAGAGAAAAATTCAGGTAAGAAGGTAAAGTGAAGACCAGGGTTGAGGTGAGAGGAGGGAGGCTAGTCTAGGGGAAAGGAAGTACACAGACCACGAAAAGAATGTAGGGAAACGGGCTCCAGGTGAGACCTGAGAATGGAGAGTTGCAGAAAAGAGTAGAGTCAGTGGACCAAAAGAGGGAAGACAAGAATAGAGGGTAAGGTCTGATTGGAGGAGAAAATTAAATTATGGGTAAAAGGAAAATGAATGTTAAGCAAAACAAAACCTGAACCATCTGTAGCCAAAATACATCTGTTGGAATAAATATTGTGAAGCCCCTAAGAGATACCAATCCGTGAAAATAATAGTAATAACTCAAATATCTATAGCACTTTAAGAACCCCAGCTTCCTTAAAGAAAGCCTTTCCCCATTCCCCTTAATGCTAAAGCTTTCCCCCTGAGGTTACCTCCCAATTCTCTTGTGTACATCTTATTTGTACATAGTTGATTGCTTGTTATCTTCCCATTAGACTGTGAACTCCTTGAGACCAGAAACAGTTTTTTGCTTTTCTTTGTATCCTCAATACCTGGCACATAGTAGGCCCTCAATAAAGGCTTATTGACTTGACTTATTGACTTAAGATTTGCAAAGCATTTACTTACATTATACATCCACACAATGGCCCTTTAAAGTAGGTGTTATTATTCCTACTTTAGAAATGAAGAATCCAAGGCTAAGAGAGGTTAAATAATTTGCTGTAAGAGAGGTTAAATAATTTGCTCCAGGTCACAAAGCCAATAAATATCAGAGGAAGGAAGGGTGAATTCTCTGTCAGTCCCTTGGAGGTGCATTCCACGTCTTTAGGGCAGTGGACCTGGGGTTCTTGCCATTGTCTTAAGGTTGAAAAGAAATATGAAGGGACTCTGAGAACAATATCCTGTGAAAGAAGTTAACTTATCATACTCTATTTCAAGAGCCACTCAGTTACCTTGTTGGGGGTGGCAGTGGGGAAGAAGGGTAAATCCAAGCAGTACAACCAAAGGAGATATGTAGCTTTTTAATGAGGTAGTTCTTTCCTCTGAACTGGCCCTGAACACACTACAGGAGGATTGTGTTTCATAATCAGGATTCCAACTCCATATCAAGAAAAGGAATAAAAGGCCATCTCCTGGTCCATGGCATGAGTGAGTCTTCCCTCCTACCTAGAACTTAGTATAGGTCAGAAGATCATATAGAAATGGAAGGAATCCCTTCCCTTTTGGTGACTTATTCCAACCTAAATTGAAATCCATACTATTCTCTTAGCTCAGACTCCTTATCCTACCATTTTTATTTGTTACCGTGTCCATCATTTCAGTGTTAATCCATGGCAAGAACTGAGAAGAAGGTACAGGCATGTATATTAAATGGGGAAAGATTGAATTCCAACCAAACTCTGTATCTAGCCTCCTAAAGTTATGGGAACAATGACTATGAATGCTTCTACACCATGCTGGCACCATGTGGGAGGAGGGTGGGAGGGTGACATATACCAAAGAGGCTTGGGCTGAGTTGTTTCACTACCATCTTTCGAAGACTCAATGATGCCCTGTGTGACAGTTTTCTGTACGTTTCCTTTCAGCACCAAAGTGAACGGACAGCTCTAAGCATTCCACAAAGAGACAGGGGCAAATGCAGGCAGTCCCCACCCTCAGTTGCCCATCTCAAGATCCTGACTACTTGTTCCTGCCAATTCGCCAGAAAGCAGAGCAGATCCTTGAGCAGTCAAACACTATAGTTTTGGATGCCCTGCAACCCCTTCTCTTCCCCCTTTTCCCTACCACACACACACACACACACACACACACACACTTCTGAGTAGCACTGCCACTTTTCTCCCCTGATGTGGGTTAAGGATTTCCAATAAGGACCAAGTATTTGAAGCTTAACACTGCAGTCTCTGGAGGAGCTAGGCCAATTTCACACTAATCTAACCCATGAAGGGAGAGAGCATCGGAAGCAAAAATTACATCAAAGAGAAGTTAATGCCGAGAAGCAGCAGACATAAAAAGGAGCTGCTTTCAGTTTCAAATGACTACACAGAGGTGGATTAAGAGATCAGGCTGCTGAATGCCTGTATCACCACCTTCTGTGCCCAGACGCTCAGCAGAACAGAATGCTCTTCAGGGGAAGAATGAGGGGCCAGGGGTAGAAACTGTGTCTATACATAGGCTACTAACCAACAGAACACGCCTTAGGCTAAGGATGCTGTAAGAAAAAAAAATGTTTAGGAATGGCAACAGTCTTTCAGAACTTTTTCCTTATCTGGAATGTGTATTAACATAGGTTTCCTTTGGCTCTGCAAGATTGGAAAAGGGGATGAGATTGTTTGCTTCTGGAAGGCAGGAACCATGTTTGACGTATTTTGTATATCACCTAGCATAAAAAATTATGATGGTAATGATACAGGCAATGGGAGAATACTTTAGCCCAACTAGCTTCATTCACCAGCTCTATACCGTGAGGATTGTGTGATATATTGGAAAGAACATTGGTCTG